AGGAGGATCGCTGGAGCCCAGAGTTTGGGGTTGCAGTGAGCTATGATGTCACCACTGCACTCTAGCTGGAACAACAGAGTGAGACTCTGTCTCAAAAAAAAAAAATCACCTTCCCAATTCAAGCTCAAAGAGGTAGATGTAGGGAGAAGTTGGAATGAATGGGTAGATAAATTATCTGTGCAATGATTGTATTTAGTATTTTTAAATAAAATTATAAAAAGGAAGTGATTTGCTTAAAAGTCTATTCATAAGTTTACCCTAATGATTTTTTACATTATTTTTAGATCCTCCTAATAGTGTGAAATAAATTTCAGCCCAGTTTAGAAAAATGATCATGAATTCTGAATTAAAAGAATTCTGAATACTCATTGTAAATAGCTAATGTTTATTGCGTATTTACTATACATTAGCCACTGTTCTGGGGGACAGTTTTATTAAATAAAGCTATTAATGGTTGTTGGAAATTTTACGGAGCTCTTGTAATTGAACAGGATTATGGGTATAAGTTTATAATTTTATTAACAGGGATTGAATGAATCATGGTAAAGAAGAAAACAAGTGATAAACAAGTCAATAAAATTACAAGATGAATTCACTGAGGGGAAGGAGTAATTATTAAATTTTTTTTTTTGTTTAATTAACATTTATTGTCTTCTGGGTAACAGGCAGTGTTAGGTACTTTTACATCTGCTATTTTATTTAATTACAAAGAGTTCTTCACTTCCAGATAAGATTTCCCATGGGCTTCCTTTGACTAATGAGTTATCTTGGCCTGGTGCTTCTCAGTCCCAACTGCACAAGCAAATCACCTGGGGAGCTTTGGAGAAATATGGTGCTGGTGTTGGGGTTTCATCCTTAGAGAGTCTGATTAATTGTGCAGAGCTGGGACCTGCCAGCAGTATTTTTAAACACTGGTCAAGTCAGAGATGTCATGTCATTTGCAGAAATAATATTGACTTAACACTTTTCAGCAAAAAACAACTGTTGTAAACTTTGGCAGTGGAAGTCTTACCTAGTCTACCTTCTTCCAGGTGGAATAAGTAAACACCTGTTTTCCTTTGTATGTTTCCTATTATGTGGGATGTGAGAAGTGTTCAGAATAGTGATTGAATGAAGCAGGCTACAAAATGTCCTGAATGTCTCAAATGCAGAATTTACATGTGCTCTTCATTTGTAGCCTGGCTTTTGCTCTGTGGTGTTTATCAGAAACATCATGCCAGTGACTTGCATAACAAAAGTTGGTTTTGTTTTGTTTTTTTTTAAAGAAAAAAGGAGACTATTTAAGGAACTTCTATACTGAAGGTAATTCGTTTGAATAAAATATATATGTGCAGAGTACAGATCTGTGAATAAAAGAGTTTAATAGAACACAGGGAATTGTAAGGAAATCTTTCTTTTGGTGGAGGGATTATGGGCAGAAATGTCTTCTTTAAAAATCATCAAATCATCTGTGATGTTCTAGTAAAGTTGTTTAATAGCAAAACATTAAAAACAAAACAAAACTAAGTGGTTTGGGAGGCTCAACTTTTCTTTAAAAATTGTTATAGCATTAGGTTACATAATAGAGAATTAACTCTAAAAACAATCTATAATTTAAAATGTATTCAGTCCCTTAAAATATTCCTGGTCACCTTGGTAAATAGACTCGCTTTAATGGGCACTTTTAGTCCTGCCTAGAAAATCCCAGGAGTTATCAGAGTCTGGTATAATTGGAGGTCAGATAAAGGAAAGCTTCCATTAGACTTGCCAACATTAAGGGTTTTCCCCTAAAATAAGTGACGTTTTTAGTGGCGGGTAATGAGCCTTCCATTTAAGTGATGTTGTGTCCCTTTACAAAAAATTATATCACATTTGCTAAGAGACCTTGGGCAAGTCGTATCATCCTTGAGCCTGAGGTTCTTTCTTTGTGTAAAGGGGGATTGGATTAAAATAGTTGCCTGTTTTCCCTTGGGCTTCATAGAGCCCCGGGAGTCTCCCAGAGAGCACTGGGGAGGAGTGTTGAGTGGCCCCATTCTGAGTGCCTGTCCTGGCTTCAGACAGAGCTGCTCTGTTAGGAGGGCACTGGGTAGTCTTCATTTGCAGAGAGGGGAAATCAGTTGGAATCTGCATGTGTTTTTGAGGATCTACTATGCATCAGGCATAGTAATACCAGGTGACACACCAGGATGACCAAAACACAGCATCAGCCCTCAGGTAGCTTCAAGTCTCCTGGAGGAAGTGACAAGGACACAGATAAGTCCAGCATTTCTCAGCTGAGTCAAGTGGCTGGGTGGGAGAAGGGCGGAATGCATTAGAAGGCTGATGGGTGGATAGGAGCCCTGGGTGGTTTTGTTTTTTTTTTTTTTTTTTTTTTTTGAGATAGAGTCTCTGTTGCCCGGGCTAGAGTGCCATGACCTCAGCCTAGCTCACAGCAACCTCAAACTCCTGGGCTCAAGCAATCCTACTGCCTCAGACTCCCGAGTAGCTGGACTACAGGCATGCGCACCATGCCTGGCTAATTTATATATATATATAATATATATATAATATATATATATAATATTATATACTTAGTTTGTCTAGCTAATTTCTATGTTTTTAGTAGAGACGGGGTCTTGCTCTTGCTCAGGCCGGTCTCGAACTCCTGAGCTCAAACGATCATCCCACCTCGGCCTCCCAGAGTGCTAGGATTACAGGTGTGAGCCACCATGCCCGGCCACCCTAGATGGTTTTTAAAGAACCACATGACAAGTAGAGGACAGCTCCCTTCCTTGAGTCACTGCCCGGTCACTCCCAAGAGGAAAAGAAAGAGGAAAGAAGGGGTGCCACGTGGGGTGGTTGGGACTGCCCTGGAGCAGAGTTGGGGACTTCAGCATGCCAGTGAAAGGGCAGTCAGGAATAAAGAGGACCACAGAGTCAGTCTGGAGAGCTGGCAGGGACCACAGAGGTTACTCTAGCAACCTCTCCCCCATGTCCCCAATATCCAGGCTCCTCTCTCTTTCCACCTCATATGCTTGCTTGGCCAGGTGAACCTGCAGTCTAACCTGTGGGCTTTGCATGGGCTGTTCCCTCTGCTTGGGTCCCCTCCTGCCTCTGGCCAATTCAACTTGTCGGTTAGTTCTCAGCTTAGATATCACCTCCTCGGGGAAGCCTTTCGTATGTAATCTGTGACTTTCCATCGCTGCTGAGTTAATTAAATACTCTTTACTGTGATGCCCAGCACCTGTACTCACCCCATTGTAACAGTCACCTGTAGTTGCTCACACTAATCTCCCAAAGCTCCTGGCAAGCTGGGAGGATGGTTTACTTCCTGGAATTATCTCCATGGCCACCATGCTTGGGAATGAGTGTCCCTCCTTTATTGCCAGCTGCAGGAGCTTAGAGAGGTTAGGTGAGTTGGCCAAAGTCAGATTCTCCTCGAGGCTGAGAAGGGCTTGGAATCCACGGTGTGGGTCTAAAGAGGAGACAAGATGTGATTCCTGGAGCTGTAGTCCAGGTTCTCTTTGCCCATAGCTTGGAAATGAAAACAAGTCACCTTTGTTTCAAGATGCCCACTTTCCTTCTGTCGGAGCCATGCGCTGTGTCCTGGGTTTGTCTCTAAGTGGTGCAATCATCAACTTACTCTTAGTATTCTTAAAAACAAACAAGAGTTTTGTGAGAGTGACTTGGTGTGTTTTTTCTAATTTCTGTGACTTTACCCAAGGTGCTAAAATGTTTCCCAAGTGAACAACTTGTCTCCATTTTCTATTTTGTAAATCTGGTGAGAATCAGAGGAAAGAAAAAACATCCTTACCATAACGGGAGAACGCCACAAGAGGAGTCAGGAGAACAGTAATCATGAGTGTGGGCACGCGCCTGCACATATGTGTGTGTATGTATGGTGCGGTGTGCATGTGTGTAGTGTGTGCATGGTATGTGTGTCGTGTGCACACATCTTAGGGCATAGTTTGCCAAGTGTGCTTAGATGGTTCTTAAATTAAACCCCGTCTTTCTTTGGCCACTGAGTAGTTCTGTAATTATTATTTAAAAGGGAATGTGAAACCACACTGATACAACAACAAGAGTAACAGCAAAAAGAAAACCTGTGCCGGCAAACAAAAGGAGAGCTGGCCAAAGCAGAGTGATTGAATTATCAGCAGACAGTGTTCTCTCACGACAATTAGACATGGCCCCCAAACCTTTTGTGAATAAAATGAGGCTGGTTAAGTGGCTTCCGGTAGTTTCAGCACCCGATGAAAAGCAAAGACAAAACACTAAGGCAGCTAGAGATTTAATCAAAATAAAGCCAGGAAAAAAGGCATTCTATTGCTCTTCTATCCAATAATAAGAGTGTCTAGACACTGCAGACTTTACTCTGATCTTCATGCAAAATGTTGGTGAATGCGTTAAAATGAGATGTTTAAATATGGTTTTATGAAAACTCTCTTTGATTCATAAGCTTTTGTTGCCATAAGAGATCTTTGAGGGTGACAAGGCTGGTATAATGTATGCATTTGTTTTCCTTTCTCTGCAAAGTAGAAACCTAAAACAGGAAGTGATTCAGGGGGCAGAATGACTAAGACCAGTTCAGATACAAGTTGGGCTGAGCATTTTGCTGGGACCCAGACTTGCAGCTGGAACCTGGGGTCCCAACATCCTTTATCTTAGAATTCTGCATCTCAAAGGATAGCTCTGGCCTCAGCCTCTTCCCCTGGGACAACTCTGTCCAGCCAAACTGTCACTCAGTCATAGGAGTTTGGTTTGAGTCTTTGCTTTTTGCTTGTTGTGCAGCCTTCAGCAAGTTACTTCTCCACATCTTTGTTTGTAATACGCAAGACTATTCTGAGCATTAAGTGAAAAAAGTATTCGTGAAACAATTCTGTAAACTATAATGTTTTGTATAAATGCCATTTGAAGTTGTTATTCCCAGACCACGCCTCTAGTATGGGAAAAAAATAATAGTGGCTCAGATTTACCAAGGGCTTTTTGTGTGCTAAGGACTGTGGTAACTTGCTTAATCCCTTGTTATGCCTCTTTTACAGGAGAAGAAACTGAGGCCTGGAGTTTGAGTAATTCATTCAAAGTTACCGAGTTGGTAAGTAACAGAGCTGGAATCTGACCATGGCCATCTGGTTCCAGACCCTATACTCTTAACCACTTCACTATAAGGAAAAACTAAAGTGGATGGTAAAGGTCAGGAGATGGATTTCAATTCAGTAGAAATAAGAACCTTCTGCCTGTGTTGAAATCAGAATACATACGCATTCTTTCATTCACTCCATGAATATTTATGGAGAACCTATAAATTTATCAAGTCAAGTTAATTTAAATAAGAGCTATAATTTTGGAGGTAAGAAGACACTTCTAACCTCCTATCAGTAATAAGACTATGACTTTGCCCAAATATTCAATAAATATTTATTGAATATTTACTATATATAGACCCTATGCTAAAACTTTACCCAAATTAACTTGTTTAAGCTTCACAACAGCCCTACAAAGTTGAGGTTCAAAGAAGAGAGGTGGCCTGGCATGGTGGCTCACACTTATAATCCTCGCACTTTGGGATGCTGAGGTGGGAGGATCGCTTGAGGCCAGGAGTTTGAGACCAGCCTGGGCAACATAGCAAGACCTTGTCTCTACGAAAAATAAAAACTTACAGAGGCCTGGTGGCTTGTGACTGTAGTCCCAGCTACTTAGGAGGCTGAAGCAGGAGGATCACTTGAGCCCAGGAATTTGAGGTTGTAATGTACGATTGGGCCACGGCACTCTGGCCAGGGTGACAGAACTGGACCCTGTCTCTCTCTAAAAAAAAGAAGTAACTTGACCAAGGGCACTCTGTTAGTAAGGGGCAGAGTCTGTATTCACATCCAAGCAGTCTGTATGGAAAGCCAGTGCTCTTAACCACAGTGCTCTTAACCACTGCAGTCTGGTCACCTGTATAGGGACCCTCATGGAAAACCATCAATCCTTTGAGCTTGGGTGCCCTCTATCCTCAACAGGGTACTTATATTTTCTGCCTCTTCTTTTCTTGTGTTTCCTGGTCTCCTCACTGCCCTCCATTTGACTAATCAGCCTGCGGTGAGGCTTAATCATAGAATGGGGACCCTTGACAGAATGCTACACGGCAGTCTCTGATCAGGCATACTTTTAATTTTTATTTTAATCAAGCTATAACTTATATATTATATTTGTATATTATCCTGTAAAATGCACAAATCTTAATTGTATAGCTGGATATACTTTTAATATGTTACTCTCATCTAACCGCCACCCAAATCAGGATATACCATATTTCCATCTTTCTAGAATGTTCCCTCATGCCTTTTTTGCAGTTGGTAGAGCCCCAAAGATAACCACTCTTCTGACTTCTGTCATCTTAGATTCATGCTTCTACCTTATCCAGATCCAAATATACTTGCTTAACAAAAACAAAACAAAGTAGACATAAAAACAACACTTTAAATAGCACGGGTGATCCTGTCATTCCACCTAACAGGCGTCTCCTTTGGAGTGAGTGTGAATGGCAGACTTGGATCTGCTGTTCCGTCTGTTGGTCTTTGTTCCCATGGCTTTTTAGAGTGTGAGCATCTTGTGCCATCGAGTGTGTTTCTCATATTTATAGATTTTAATTATCACACAAGATGGCCCCTAAATCCAAGCCAGCTATTTCATATGGTGCTCAACCTAAGAAACCAAATCCAGCGCTGAAGTAAAAACTGGCTTTCTTGGACTTCATGAGAGTTGGTCTGTCTCCAACATGAGACCTTATTGTGGGATTTTTTGAGAGGAATTTTGGTTCCCTTTAATTTTAATATTATACGCTGATTTTAGAAGCAAACTCTTGAGTAAGATGCAATTTTAATGTGAGTAGAACTCAAGTGTGGGTAAGTGGCTATATTAGATTTGGTGACGTGGGACACTTCTGGCAATGTGGTGAGCTGAGCTGGTTTGCGTGAGTCCTTCCTGATGTGAACGCAGAGTTGATTGAAATATAAGAATTATATCTAGGGAAACTCATAAGAAAGACAAACCCACAAATGTCACAAGTGAAGAGAGAATTTAAGTCAAATGATTGCCTGTGAGCTGAAGCCATGACCACTCTTGGGGCTTTTGTAGCTAGGTATAGGCTATAGAGTCTGGGGGCTAAAGTTTTAGTGCCACAGTGGGTCTAGAAATGAGGCCTGAGCTCAAGGTAGAATTGAGTGCTGTGGAGCCTTGAAGGTCTGAGCTCTGCATGAAAAGGGGCTAGAAAAACCTCACTGCCTGGAGAAATAGAGAAGAATCTTGCCTACAGTGGAAGAAAGTCACCAGCAAGAAATTAAAAACAAAGCCTATACCATATGTAGTTGTGGAATCTGTATTTTTATTACCTATGAGACCCTTCAACCTGAAAAATTAGTATAAAAACTGGTCTAGTACCATGAAAACCACTACCACAAACATAAAATCACTCCATAGGGATATTTCAACAACCTGTGTCTAACAGGACTCCCACAGAAAGAACAACCTTCTCTGAAGATGAGTTCACAATTAAAAACTAAACTATTCAGGAAACAAACTGCTCCAAGTGGGAAGTAACAAACATATCTAAAGGAGACTATACAATAGTATATTTGAGATTATTAAGAACTAAAGATGATATAGAAATGTAAAGAAAGATGAAAAAAGAATAGGTTGATTTGAAAAGCTGCCAAATTTAAAATGAAAAGTAGTCATTAAAATTAAAATCCAACAAAAGGGTTGAATGACAGATTTGATATAGCTAAAGAGAGAATTAGTGAGCTGGAAGACAATAATGATGGTTAACATTTGTTAAGTGCATAGTATGTGCCACTGTTCTGTGTACTTTACTTGCATTAACTCATTTAATTCTCAGAACAAAGTTATGAGGAGGCATTATTATCATTATCCATATTTTACAGGCAAGGAAACTAAGACATAGCAGTTTAAGCCACTTGCTCAAGGTCACACAGCTGGTATTGCAGCTAGGATTTGATGCCAGGCTGTCTGGGGTGGCCTAGAGTCTGTATTTGCAATTACTACATTGTGAGAAATCACCACAAATAAGTAATAAGTGATAGGTAGAAATACGACAGAATTGTAAAGAGACAAAGAGGGTACTGTTTATGTCTTCAATGAGAGACTAAGGGAGAAGCAATATTAGAAGACATAAGGATTAGATATCCTTTCAGATCTCCTCCATCCCTTAGGTTCCAAGAATTTGTGACCACGTCAGCATAAAGGGTGAAATATTCAAAGAAGGGTAGCACAGCCTCAGTTTCCACAGTAGTGTGCATTGATATTCTGGTTACTGTTTACAGCAATCTCTCTGGGGAAAGAAAAGAAGCTCTGATTTATAGCATTTGCTCATTCCTATGGTGTAAATACTTCCACCATGACTAATTTCAGACTACCAATATGATGTAACTGAAAATGGAGTTTGAAAGAGATGAACACAGTCAGGACTCTTGACCCAGCATGAACTGGCTCCAGCACACCACTGCCTTTGACATTTATTTTATTTTAAACTCTGATCTCTGGGTTGTGCATCCAGGAGTGGAATTTTCAGGAAGTAGTAATGTCACATGTGTTATTACAGGGGCAAGAAGAGACAACGGGACAGGAGTGGAGCTCTGCCCTTCTTTCTTCTTTTATCTTTAAAAACAAAACAAAACAACAACCTTTTGTGAATGTAGGTGAAGAAACTGACATACTCATTACACTGTTGATGAGAGGGAAAATTAGTGTAACCTCTCTGAAGGGCAGTTGGCACTGTCTACCAACATTTTAAGTGCACATGCGCTCTGATCTTGCGATTGCACTTTAAGGATTTTGTCTTATAAATCCTGTCATTCCTATAGTTACACGTGTGTGTGAAGATGCATGTTAACATGTATGCATTGCAGCATTATTTGTAGTAGACCCTGGAAGCAACTTAAATGTATGTCCATAAGGAATTGATTGAATGCTGTGCCACTGTTTAAATAGTAGGTCATATATGCTAAGGAGAAATGATTTCCAGGATACATTCTTAAGTTAATTTTTTTAAAAAAGGCAATATACAGAAAAGTAGATGTGGTATGCTCCCAAGTGTGGAAAAACAAGAGAGTGCTTATACATAGCCACTCAGACTCATATACATGCCTGATTGGGCCTAGACTAATGCTAGAAAGACACCAAAAAGAAAAAAAAAAAAAAAAACAACGGGCAACTAGAAGAATACTGTATTGGGAAAAGCCAAAGCCAAGGGGATTGTGGTTCTGGGGTGGGTGGAAGATATTATTCTGTATGTCCTTTTATATATATATTTTAAAAATTTGAAGCATAAGCATATAGTACTTTTTCTATTAAAAACAAATTAAAGAAAAACTTTGTGCATGCAGGGGTGGAATTTTCAGGAAGTAGTAATGTCATGTGTGATATCACGGGGGGAGGAAGAGACAAGGCAAGAGTGGAACTCTGCCCTTCTATCTCCCTTGTATTTAAAAACAAAACAAAATATAACCTCCCATTTTTAGAGGAGGTTAGCAGATCTCGTGGGTGGGGTTGCTAATCTCCAGTGGGAACCCAACACTTATTGAGCACCTGCCAAGCATCAGGCACCTGTGTTAGCTGGCTTAGTCCTCACACATCCATAACACGGAAGGTCTCTCCATTGCTTGGCGCTTTCTGGAACATGGAGCTGCCCAGGAAATGTGTGATAAATGATAATCCCATTTTCAAGAAGAGGAGAGGTCTGGTAGTTGTGTCAAATCTTGTGGCATGCAAGTAGAGGAAATGGAATTCAATGGCAGTCTTAAAGGTATTTTAGAAACGGGTAACCCAGCTGCTTCTTAGAAATCTGAGTTATCTGGAAGGCATCTCAAGCTTTTTTCCCTCCTGCCAGTAAATCTCTGGCACCTCTCTTGACACCACATAGAAGTATTCTGTCTGTATTAATTTCTTTAACTGTAAGATTCTTCGCTCTAGAAAGTTGGAGCTGTGTTTCTGGACCAAATGAATAACTGATATGCTTAGAAATAACAAAGGCAAGGAGAATTTGTCCTGCGCTGTCCTTTTTAGAATGATTTTTATGTTTACAACATTCCCGTGAAGTATACATCATCAAAGGTCTAAGAGATACTTGCTTCTGTTCACTTGAAAATGGTGACTTTTAAGGCCTTTCTTAGCAAAATAGATATTTCCAGAGGTGCTTTTATGTTGTTGTTGTTTTCTGCAATGAGCCACATTCCTAATCCATCGTGAAATGTTTTATAGAACCAAAGGCTTTCTCTCTTCCCTCTCCCTTGTTATTGTTTGGAAATAAATTCAGTAAGTAGGTTATCCATCTTGAAAGGGCTGTTGCTATGATGCTGTCCTGATTTGATCAACAATAATCCAAATGGGCAAGAAAAGTGGAATGAACACTTAAGCTTATAGAATCAAAATCACATAAACTGACCTGGGTATTATGTAAGAGTGTCACATCATCTGTAACATTCAGATGAACTACTTGCAAGTGAGAGTTGTTTGACCTTGGCATTTTGTTGGTCTCTTGAGATGGTATTTTGCGGGCTCCATCAGAGAGCCCTGTTAAGCACTTCAAGTAGTATTAGCCCTATGTGCAATGTGGGCTGTAGTGGTTTTAGTTTACTGCAAGAAGAATGTGAATCAACAATGTTATCTGACTCCTCCAAACAGTAATTCTATCTTCACTGCCTGAATAGAGATTAGAGAGTAGGTTTAAGTGCTATTGCTGTGTGAGGCCTTCCCTGATCACTCTTCCTCTGCTCATATTGCACTATGTAGTATTAATATTTAATTAAAGCAATTATCTTATTGGCTTTAAATAATTGCAGTTGTTTATAGCTATCTGTGAGTGCCTGGAAAGATGGCACGAATCATCTTTCCTTACCTGGGCATAGCCAGTATGCAGCATATGCTACAGCACTTTGGATTTCATGTCAGGATTCTGTCCACCTCGAAACAAAGTCCAAACTCAAACTGGCTTCTGCAGAAAGGGGATTTGTTGGTTTATGTAACTCAAAAGACTAGGGATGGAACCTAAGGCATGGAGGATCCAAGGCTTGCAGTGTTGCCAAGTCTTACATAGTTTTTCACTGTTTCTTGGGGCTGCCTGAATTTAATTTTGGATTGTGGTGCAAGATGGCTGTTGATGGTTCTAGCAGGAGGTAAAAAAAGGCTACTTTCCCAATAGTTTGACAAGTATTAGAATTGAGTCTAACTGTCTCTGATTGGTCTTTTCTGGGTAACCTGCACATCCCTGAACCAATCCCTATGGCAAGGTGAATGCCATGTTCTGACTGGCCATTCTGGATTGTCTGCCTGTCCCCCTTAAGAAGCTGAGGTGGGGTCTGCACCTCCTGGGCACAAGGACTGAGAATGAGGGAAGGAGGTCATCTCCCAGGGAAATCAGGGAACCATTTGTGAATGGTGGGTAGGCAAAAAGCAAAGAATGTCCGATATAGTAGGTTTTTAATCAGTGTTTACTCAGTGAATGAATTAACAGATGAATGAGCAAACAAGAGCGTGCTGCTGATTCTGTGAGCTGGTTATACAATACCCGGAGTGGGGTTTTAACAGATGGAGCCTTTGCAGAGAGGAGGGATAGGAGAGGGCCCTGGAATCAAGTCATATAGGGATGCTATTAAATTAGCTGAAATATTTAACAAGAAATAGGAGACAGAAGAGACATATGATAGCTGTTTCCAAATGTCTGAAGGGCATTCATAGGGAAGCGACATTTACTGGGTTCCCACTTTATGTCATAGCTGCTGGGTTCGCCACTTTGTCATCACCCACATTTATTTTCATTTTATTAGACAACCAATTTATGTTGATTATAGAAAATCCAAATATGCACAAAAAAGAGAACAAGGCAAGTCCTCCTAATAATCTTACTACCTAGGGCTAATTGCTATAAATATTTTGGTATACAGTGTTTCAATCTTTTCTCCCTATTTATAGTTGCATTTAAACATTTTTAAATTTAATTTCTTTGTGTTTGTCACAGAGCGTAACTGTGGCTCAGAGAGTTGAGTAAACCATGCCTGAGGTCCCAGGACCTGGAACTCACAGTGCCAGAATTCATTCCAGGTCTGCCAGTCTCAAATGTCCCCTCTCATTTCTAGGTCTTTGACTTAGCTGCTGCATAACCAGCAGGCTGTACCACATAACAGGGTTTTGCTGCAGTTCTATTCTGAGAATCTTGATGTCATCATTATTTGTTTATCCACTCACTCATCTTCATTCATGTACGCAGGAAATAATTCACTGGATACTTTCTGGGTGCCAGGGATAGACCAGAGAATGAGGCAAGCCCCTGCCCTCCTGGAGCTTACAGTCTAGCTGAGTTCCACATCACCTCTCAATGGTCAAATAACAGCCTCTAGGGATGTACAGAACTGTGATATTGCCAATTGTACTAGTTCCACACCTCTGTTAGGAGGCAACCAGCAAAGCCACAAAGCTGGATGGCGTAGTTTTACATACACCTTCTGCCTGGGATTCTGCTCCTAAAAGGAATGGGTGTATATTGAGGGATGGGGTATATTGAGGGAGGGATGGGATCCTCCCAGGGCTGGCTCTGCTAGGTGGTCCAGGGTGCATCCTACCTTACGTACCTACGATGACCCTGTTTTCTCAACCCCAGGGCAGAACTCATGGTGTATGAAGCAGGGTTAGCTGAACAAGAAGCGAAAAATATTTCTTGAATGTGGCCTCCCCCAGTGCTTTGACATGGCTTCCCTTGCCCAGGGAGATAGGTTTCATTATCCCCATTTTGCAGGGGAGGAAGGTGAGGCTTATTTGGAGTCCTGATGTGTGCTCAGGCCTGTCTGATGGCTCCAAATCTTATGTGCTTCTTGCTGATGTTCCTTTGATCCAGACACATCTGGTGAGTGGTTCTTTAAAAGCTTCTGAAACTTCCTTGGTAAGTTTCATTCCATCCATTTATTTAAAGAAGTACTCATCAAGGACCTGTGTATAGAAACTCTGTTAGGCCCTGTGTGACCAAGGCGGATAGAGTTTCTGCTCCCAGGGAACTTGAAGTCTAGTTAAATCATGGGAAGTGTGATAACATTTTTGCAGGATCTTTCATTCAGTGATTTATTCAGCCACGCTCCAGGATGTGTCAGGACGCTTTGAGTTGCAAGTGACAGAAATCCTCATTCAGTGGGTAATTAATAGAAGCAGTGAGGTGGTTCACATAACCCGAAAGTAGAGTGGTAGCACAGGTTTCAGGCACACTTTGATCAGGGTGTTCTGGCTTCGTTTCTTTGTGATTCTCTCAGCTCTGCACTTCTGTTCATTGGCTTTGTTCTCAAGTTGACTTCCTTCATCGTAGTGAGAGAGGAAAGAGCTACCATCTCTCCCCAGAGCCATCGAACAAATTTTCTGAGCTTCCCTTGGATTGGATCATCTCAGGACACGCATCCATCTCTCAACCAATCAGGGTGGCAGGTGAAATAGGATAACAACCGATTGGCTCAGACCATTCAGGACCCACCCCTGGAATTGGAGACGAGGGAAGGATGCCTCTTGTGGGGGAGGAGTGGAGCAAAGATGTTGGCAAAGAGGCAATGACAGTCTCAGTGGGCTAGATCACCACGCAAAGATGAGGAAGGCATTATCTCTTCTCATTAGAAATTCACCTTCCAGTGAGCGTCCTGAGGAAAGGCATTTGCGTCCCTTGGATGGTAGGCACTTAACATCTATTTTTGTAGTTAGTTCTCATGACGTCCCTGCCAAGTAAGTAAGTATGTCCATTTTACAGTTGAGGACACGAGTCCAGAGAGTCAGTTACACACCTAGCAAGCAAACAAGGTCTGTCTGTGGCTGTGGATCTCACACCACTTCCTCTCCTTTTTTGTGTTAACGGTAGAGAAAATAGATCTGTGGTCCCCAACCCTGGTACCTGTCTGTGGTCTGTTAGGAAAACAGGGTCGTGTATCACCACCTGAATTCTGCCTCCCCCCATAATCCCCCTGCTCACTGGCCTCCTTCCTTCCCTGGAAAAATTATCTTCCATGAAACCAGTCCCTGGTGCTAAAAATAAAAAGGTTGAGGACTGCTGAAATAGATCATTAATAGAGACCCTAAAATGATTTGTTTAATGACTCTTCTACAATAAGCAGGGCCTTGCCAGTAGTCACTGCTTTTCTATTTCAAGCTTTTATTAGAGGAATCCTGCCTGCTTTTTTTCTTTAACCAACTATAGATGGGAGGAAAACTCCTCTTTCAGGTTCAGGTAAACAACAGAAAATTGAATGAGCTTCTGAGAAAAGTAGAACCATTGTTAACCGACAATGCCTCAGAATGTCATTAGGTTTTAAAGGAATAGAGTAGCTATTATGTAAACCGTATACAATGCTGCTTTCCCTTGGGCCCGAGTTCACTTGTGCCTTCAAAATACAGAATACTGTTTTTTTGGGTGGTTTATGTAAAGCCAGTGTGATTCCTAAATTAAACTGCCAAAATGAGGGCAAACAAGCTGGGTTTTCTGGTTCTCTCCAGACTTTGCAGAGATGTAACATCCGACAGAGAAGGAAGATGATTTGCTGAAAATCATTTGTGTGCTGCTGGCAAAATGTATTCATACCGCTCCCTGCGTCCAGTGTGTGTGTTCTGCACTTCACTGCAGGGTGAAAAGGCTCTCACTTGTTCTTAGGTCTACTGACCTCACTTACTTCCTTTCCACCCCAGCAGTTACAGTTCCATCCTGGGAGAAATTAACCAAAAAGGGGGAAATACAAATGGTGGTTGATGACAAGTTGATGAATAAGATTTTCAACTTAGATGCTGTGCTTTTTTGAGTTCTTGTGTCTGCCTTTTTTCCAGGTTATTGCTGATGATAATTAATTTACCTATCCACATTTCAATCAAGTTGTCTGCTTTGCTTTGGGTCTTGGGGATAGAGAGTTGAGCAAAGCATGGTCTTAATTACTGACAGCCTTTAGTGGCCCTCCTCTAACCATATTCCCCCCCCCCCCCGTCTGTCCATGTTGATATAATTTTTGGGTTTTGATTTACTCTGGGCTAGGCAATTTCTTCAATTGGACCTTGAAAAAGGTATAAAGTAAAAGTAAATAGAACAAATAGAACATGAGAAAGGTCTAAGGATAAAATGCACAGGCTTAAATGTCAGGTAGAGACCAGAAAAACAGGGTTGCCATGCTCATTGCCACCCTAGAAGGTGTGACCACCGTGGTTTTCCTTAGGGATGAGATTCAGCACAGCATAACCTAGCTCACCCTAATGGATGTAACTGCTATTGTCATAGAGAGAGCAAGATTCATGGAACCAGGGAGCAGGCATGTGTGTGTGTGTATGCAATACGAATATATTTATGCATGTATATGAACTTTGCAGCCTCTATAACACTGGTTCCCAAACTTGTCTGCACAGCAGAATCACCTGGTAACATACCAGATGAATTAACTCATAAGCTCTGGGGGTGGGACATAAACTTTAGTAGTTTCTTAAGCTCTCCAGGTGATGTTCAGGACATGTTCAGAAAACATTGCTCTATGAGAATTTCAGTAACAATATCATGATTGTGATGTGAAGAGGAGTGAGGATAATGCTAATGACAGTGGTAGCAGCCGTCATTGGCATTTACTGGCTATTAATATATGCCAGGCAGTACCCTGGGCGTTTTATAAATATTGCCACTTTAATCCGCACTGCACTCTGCAAGACAGCTGTGTAGGCAGCTGGAGGAAAGGAAGGGATCATACCCTTGTAACTGATGTCAGCCACAGAATTGGCTAACCCAGATTGTCAGGTAAAAGACCAGAGAGATGAGGTTGCTGGGTTTTCCTTGTTGATCCCAGAGGGACCATTGTGGTCATCTTTAAGGCTGCGTTTGGGGGTTATATGTTACCATAGCATAACCTGTCCCATCCTGACAGATGCAGCAGGAGGTTATTATCCTTTTAATAACCACAGCAGATTCAGGAGTCCACGTTCAAAAGCATATTTTGCAAAGTTGTAAATTGAGGGTGAGTTTCCTTTGGCTTGTGGCTTGGACAGAGAGAGAACAGAGTACAGCAGACCAGGCTATTAATCTTGGATTGGTTGATTCATCCATCAAAACTACTCTTTATGTGTCTCAAGGAATCAGGTTAAATAAATTAGTAAAATATTACCTTGTGTTTTTGTAACACTTCTCAACAGAGTACACAGTGGTATGCAAACTTCTTGCCATTGTTAGTCATTTTCTTACATCCTGCAAGGATTGTTTGTTACCTTGAGGTAAAGAGAGAAACTAAGTTACCTTGAAATGCATATCTAATGTCCATATACTTTTCTGACTGCAGCCTTGATGCGTAGGTGGGAGTTTGGCCAGGAAATGTGGGAGTGTGGGGGAAGGTGTTCCTCGTAGAGAGAATGCCATGGGCAACGGCACAATAGCAGGAAATAGTATTTACAGGAACTCTGTAAGCAGTTCAGTATTACTACCAAGAAAGATACCACTCCTGCCAGGTGCATGGCTCACACCTATAATCTCAGCACTTTGGGAGGCTGAAGCAAGAGGATCGATTGAGGCTAGGAGTTCCAGACCAGCCTGGGCAACCTAGAGAGACCCCACCTCTACAAAAAATTAAAAAATTAGCCAAATGTGGTTGTGTTCACCTGTAGTTCCAGCTACTCAGGAGACTGAGGCGGGAGGATTGCTTGAACCTCAAAGGAGTTTTAGGCTTCAGTGGTCCGTGATCATGCCACTACACTCCAGCCTAGGCAACAGAGCAAGACTGTCTCAAAAAAAAAAAAAAAAAAAAAAAAAAACAAGAAAAGAAAAAAGGGAAAAACCACTCCCACTATTATAGGTGGTTGGGAAATCCTGTAAAACCTGCATTTCCACTTACTTCTTCATCATGCAGCACATACATCTAATATATATTTTTTAATAGTGGAAGAGATTTGTGTTTTATGAGGGCCAAATAAGGATAATAATTTAATCGACCCCTTTTTATCCTGAAAGATCACACCAGATGCCATACCAAATGCTGCATACTACTTATTAGTAGAGATATTTTACAGAATGTTGTTAATGCCTCAATGACCCAGATTGGCTTTTGGAAATGAACTCAGCAGTTCTCTGACAGGGTAGACATGAATCCCTTTCACCTCATTCTGGGCCCAGACTCCAGTCCTGGGGGGTTGTGCTTCTGTGAACCCACGCTGGGCTCCTGGACAAGTTCCTTAACCACCTGGGCCCTGCCTTTCTGTAAGCATAAAATGTTGGGTTGAAGATGGATTCCAAAGTTCTTTCCACTTCTGAAATTAGGTGATTCACTCAGCAACTCTGATGCAGGCACTGATAAATACAAGTGGCCTATTAAATAAAAATGCTAAATAAATACTGAAGTGGACGCTATAAACATTTTCTCCAAGTCTGTGGGTTGAGACAAGACCAGAGCTTGGGCAAGGTAACATTCTCCTCTTTGCCCTGCTCTGCATAACAACTGGGATGAGGGATGCATGCTCGTTAAACCTGTGTTCTAACATGAAGTCAGCACCGGGATTTTAGAGAGGAAGCTAGCTAAACCAGTTACACTTCTTCACTTGGATCATATCGGTTATTGCTTCTTGAAGGCTTGTACAGTGTCTTTCCTTCTGTAGCCTCAAAGAGTGACTGTGAGAACCTAAGCTCTTGTACAATCTTAGTTCATGTTTGACTTATTCCCATTGTTCTGTCTAAAGGTCTGTATTTAAAATATTATACTAAGTCACTCAGCTAGTGACCTGATCATTTAGGCTACTTCGGGGGCTGGTGTGAAATCTTACCTCTTTGTGCTGATTATCTGATTCCCTTCCTCCAGGGCTGTAGCCATGTGGGGGATTCAGAGTAGGGTTAAGACCCTAGGCCAGTGCTGACTCAGGCTGGACTGATGCCATCTCTTTGACCAGCTGCCACTGTTTATTGAGTGCATGCCTTGTGCCAGGCTCAGTGTTCTCACTGGGGATACAGTGGTGACAAAACAGTGTGGCCTCTGACCTCCTGGAACTCACAGTGTTCAAGGAACTACACAAATAGCCATACAATTATACTAATGATATGTGCTGTAAACAAGAAGTACAGGGGCCTGTGAGTACTCCCAGCAGAGGACCTGACCTGGTTTGCTCAAAGTGGCAAATGCATGGACATGATGAAAAACCCTGGCAAGCACCTGGGGCTGGAGGCATTCAGAACGCATGCGATCCTGAACGCAAGATGGGACCAGGTGAAGGGGTCAAAATTCAGCCCACAAACAGCACTAGGGTCCCTGTGATTTGATAAAGTGAAGAACAAGGCTTCCCTGGACATGTTTTCCCTGCCCTTTCTCTCCTGCCCTGATCTACCGAAGCTGGAAGGAACTCTTCTTGCTTTTTATTTTTATTTTTTATTTTTTGAGAGACAGGATTTTACTCTGTCACCTGGGCTAGAGTGCAGTGTTGTCATGATAGCTCAATGCAACCTGTAGTGGGGACTACAGGCATGCACCACCATGCCTGGCTAGTTTTTCTATTTTTTGTAGAGACAGGGTGTCATTCTTTCTCAGGCTGGTCTTGAACTCCTAACTTCAAGAGATCTTCCTACCTCAGCCTCCCAGAGTGCTAGGATTACAGGCATGAGCCACCATGCCCGACCTCTTGCCTTTTAATTTTATAGGATATACCATCTGTATCATTTACTTGGCAGTTGGGTGTTGCTTTGCACTAGAGTAAGGTGGTGTGCCTCTCATCCCCAGGAAAGGAAGGCTGTTTCCTATACTCTGTGTGTTCCTCCAGGTATGTGACCCAGGGTGGAATGGTTGATCAGTTGGCCAGTGAAAATGTCTGTGGCATATCAGTTAACCCAAGAATTGGGACTGGCCCTGCTTCCATCCACTGCAGCAGATCAAACGATGGCTCAGGACTGGGGAGAACAGTAACATGTGACTGTCCCAAGTGCCCCTTTGTGCTCAAATTCATCAAAATTTCTGTTGATTGAGGCAATTAATGGGGGGGAATTCTGTCAACCTGGGAATAGTTTAACAGATATGAGCTTGTAATTAAAAGTTCAAGGTAAATTGGTTTTCCTTTATTTGCATCATATTACCTAGTTTTCTTTCTGCCTGTGTGAGTCTATTTTCATGAATAGAGTAACTACCAGCCAGGAGCCTCTCTCTGCTTCCATCCCTCCTACCTTTCACTGTGCTTTCCATCTGCCTCTTTCCCATCTCCCTTGGCTACCTCTGCTTTCACTTTCCTTCTGTCTACACTCTTCTCTTTTCAAATGCCATCTTTCTGGACAAACGAAATGGTTTAAAACATTAAAGGAAAATAAAAAAAGAATACATATATATATATATTGTTTGAGACAGAGATATATTTTTTGCTCTGTCTCCCAGGCTGGAGTGCAGTGGCATCATCATAGCTCACTGCAGCCTCGAACTCCTGGGCTCAAGGGATCTTTCTGCCTCAGCCTCCAGAGTAGCTGAGACTACAGGCCTACACCACCTTGCCTGGCTAAGTTTTCTATTTTTTGTAGAGATGGGGTCTTGCTATGTTGCTCAGGCTGGTCTCAAACTCCTGGCCTCAAGTGATTCTCCTGTCTTGGCCTCCCAAAGTACTGGGATTACAGGTGTGAGCCACCATACCTGGCCAAAAATATTATTTTATCTTTACTCTCACCCTGTTATCTTTGAGTTTTAACTTCTCTGAGCCTAGCATTTTCCCATTGGGGTACATATTATATATTAATTATATTATGTGTGTAATTTTATATTCTATTATATATGTAATTTTATCACAAATACAATATACTATACATACTTATAATACACATAATCACATGTAATTTTGCCTTCTATTATATATGTAATTTTGTGCTTTTGTTTTTTTAACTTAATATTCACACTTTTTCAATCAACAAATGTTAGCTGAGCTCCTATCATGTGCCAGGCATCATTCTAGGGGCTGGAGACATATCAGTGAACAAATCATACATAAATCACTGCTGTCATGGAGCTTAGGTCTAGGTCATGGAGAGAGACAATAAACATAATACAAACTATGTTAGAAGGTCATAACTATTTTGAAAAAAACAATAGGGCTAAAGAAGATTGGGAATATTAATTTATAAAATATTTTCTCATGTTTTTACCATCTTATAATATACTAATTGTTGTATTTTATCCTTGATGTTGATGCATTATAATTTATTGAGAACGTTAGAACTATATAACTTTAAATCTGGAGAGGACTTGTGAGTCATTGAGAACAAATGTTTCCTTTTTGAGATGAGGAAACAGATCCAGAGAAAAGAAATGACTCGCAGAAGATCATATAGCCCCTAAATAGCAAAGCAGGGACATTTAACTTTTTATTAAAGTGATTTTCATTAATTCTAAAGACAGTTCTTTCAGAGCCCTACTATGCTGTATCCTCATTGTAGGAAATTTGTTTCTGGTTTTTATTATAAATAAAATTTATTATAAATAATGCTGCAATGAGCAGTTTTATACAAATACCATCTTAATGAAAGTAGCAAGTTTATTAATAACAACAATAATAAATAATAGAGAAAGTTAATGTTTTTTGAGCACTTAAATTTTTTTTTTTTTTTTTTTTTGAGACAGAGTCTCGCTTGTTGACCAGGCTAGAGTGAGTGCCGTGGCGTCAGCCTAGCTCACAGCAACTTCAAACTCCTGGGCTCAAGCAATCCTTCTGCCTCAGCCTCCCGAGTAGCTGGGACTACAGGCATGCGCCACCATGCCCGGCTAATTTTACATATATATTAGTTGGCCAATTAATTTCTTTCTATTTATAGTAGAGACCGGGTCTTGCTCTTGCTCAGGCTGGTTTCGAACTCCTGACCTCGAGCAATCTGCCCGCCTCAGCCTCCCAGAGTGCTAGGATTACAGGCGTGAGCCACTGCGCCCGGCTGAGCACTTACATTTGCTGGGCACTGTGCTAAGTGCTTTGCATTAAATAATTTCCTTCTGACATTAAGTACCATTATTTTTTTTATTTTACAGATGGGAAAATGAAGGGATTCAAATGTAGGCCTAGGACAAAAGTCTGTCAGCCTCTGTGATATAAAATCTTCTGAGTTTGAATATTAAATTAGCAAATGCCAAAACCAAACAAACAAAAATAAAACCAAAATAAAAAAACCCAGAAAATGTCAAAAAGCAATATAATCAGTAACATGCAGTTACTTGAGAGTTTATCAAACATTTAAGCTTTACCAAAGCTTTACATATTAGGTTTAACTGTATGTAATTGCTGATTTTTAATAGCCAACACAGTTTGAATATTGGCAGTTTCATAAGTTGCACCTATTATTTCAGTTAATCTTTACATTAACACAGTAAATTTTGTGATTATTGTGCCTATTTTATAGATGAGTAGTGTAGTACTTTAGGTGGAGCTTGGACACTGGGGGATTTAGTCAATATTTACAGAAAGAAAGGGAAGCAGGTGGTAGGCAAGCCAGGTGGAGTAATTTATACAAGATAAGCAGCCGCTGAGACCTAGGATAGAATCCTGGCTCCACTTCCTAGTAGCTTTGTGTCCTTGGGCAAGGTACTTGAACTCGGTGTCTCCCAGTTTTCTCATCTGAAAGCAGGGAGTAATAACATCTCTTTCATAATGTTGTTTTAAGGATTAGATTGTAAATGACTGGAAATCATTTTGTACAATACCAACAGAAACTAAGCAGTTGATCAGAGGAGTTGGTGGTAATAATTCCTTCTTGTCCTCACATTCCAAATCCTTTTCTCTTTCTTCTAACCATCGTGTTTCTGTAAAACACACACAAAACCAGTTTTTAAATGGTATTGATAAATTAATGACCCTAAACACAATTAGGGATTCTCTTTCTCTACAGGTAAGTCTTTCATCTAATTCCCATAATGTGCTCTTGTAAAGTGGGTAGAACAGCAGAGATGAATCTTCTGTTTGGGTTTTGGGATCACAGTGGGGTTCAGCTCAGTAATGAATGGTCCACCCAGGCATTCTTCTTCTTGCCATTCCTTGGTAGCCGTCTGTGATTTTATGGCATCTTGTCCTCTCCTTCAGGTGACCTTCGTCCTGTGCCTGTTCCCTTCCTGGTGAAGGGTATGGGATTGTCAGAGCTGAAAAAGCCAAGTGGGTAGTCCTTTGTGCCGTGGAACCACACAATGGGTTGAAAGAGTTGATTGTGGAAAGGGCAGCACATCTTGAGTGTCCCCTCTTGGATTTTTCTGCAGCCGGCGAGTCTGTAAATGGAGCAATGGGCTTGGGCTGCAAGCTGCTTACAACATCAGTTAACCCTGGGGACCAGTCTATCCCTCTTGGGAAAAACCTTGCCTCCTGGTAGGGCTTGGGAGGGAGAAAGGAAGGTGGGCAGAAAGTCTTTTCCTCTTTTTCCCATTCAAATCTCGGCAAGAAAGCACACTCTTCATTTCTGTCACCTGTATCAGCAGCAGATTCCCAATGTGAGCTCTGAGGCATCATCCTTGCTTTGTCACATACCAGCTTTTCCGATTGCAAACAATTTTACTTCTCTAGTTGATGGGAACTCTAATAACTCCAGGTGGTGAATGGGCGGTGGGGAGTACATTTCTGTAGAAATACAGCTCCAAAGCAGTACAAACACAGAGGGGAAAAATGGGAAGCTTGTCAAGAGGAAGGAAGTGCTATAATAAAACATTTTACCTTTATTGACATTGACGAAAGCTCCCCATTAGCTGAACTCTAGCTTTATTAAATACTTTATGGTTTAGTCACAGCGGAGTATTATATAGCCTTTAACAACAATGTAGCTGAAGTTCCTTTATTAAGGAAGGATGATTGAGATTCTTTGTGCAGTGAAACACAGCAGATTACAATTCAGTATATGAACCATTTTGATAAAAATATGTCTTACCTTTACATAGATATAGACATAGAAAAAACATTTGGGTGTCCACATGGAGTGGGTGGTTGGATCATGAGAGTTATTGTTTTCCTTTTGCTCATATATATTTTCAAATTTTTGCTGTAACATGTATTACTCATATAATTGGGTGAATAGGGCACTGGGGCACCCTATTTACTGCTTAGGACACCCTCCCTTTTTTGCCTAATCAACATATTTATAGAAGGTCTCCTAGGGACTGGGCACCATGGCAGGGATTACAATGGGCACAATAGCCTGTCTCTGCCTTCACAGCTGACATTTTGGTGACAGTTGTTTTGTATTTTTTAAATTTTTAGTTAAAACACTTTTAAGCCAAAAAATTATAGTACTTATAGTTTATGATAAGTGCTGTGAAGGAAAAATCCAGTGACATGCTAGGGAGTGAGTGTGGGGATATGGGGTTTGCTTTTAGGAAGGGTGATGGGGAGGACCCCTTTCAATCTGAAGGCCAAAAAAAACCACATGAAGAGACCAGATAGTATATTCAAGGTACAGGGAGGGAACAGCCAGTGCCAGGCGGTAGGACTCTTCCTTCCTTTCAGCAGCTTCCTGGCAGTGCTGGGGAAATGAGACCCGGAGCTGCCCCACTTCTGAGAAATGTATGATATTTGGAAATGTGATGGAGGCTCAGAGGTAAACCTTATAACTCTGGGGAAATATGGCTATAAGGACAGCTTTATGGCTCCTGCGAGATTGGTTAATGTTTTGCTAAATAACAGGAAGGTGTTGGGTTTGATTTGTTGCCTTGGTACTTTGGGTCTTTTTGAATAGCAGCTCTGATGTTATCTTTCAGTGCTGGATGAGCTTGAGCCCTACCCAGGGGATTCCCGGGGTTCTTTTCCCCATCTTTGTCCGCTTTCATTAAATATTCATTAGCTCGGCATCCATAAGGTAACACTGGGGTCCTTGCCTATGATGGAAATGTTTGGAAGGTGTCTCTTTCCTCAAGGATTCAGTATTCATTTGTCTGGTGAGAAGGAACAAAAAGTCATTGGTAGAACTCCCTTACTGGTCAGCTGAGGAGTAAGACTGGATACAGAGGCAACAGAACCTATACTCTAGGTGCTTAAACATATTGAAAGATGTATTTGAGTTAAGGATGGCAGCAAATATTGACAGTCCTTTCTAAGGGCAATGCAAATCAAGAAACCACAGTAATGTTCAGTTTCTTTGATGCAGTAATTACAATCCAGGGAACTTATGCTGAAGTAATAGGTTTTTTTGTTTGTTTTTGTTTTTAAGGGAGAAACAAAGCAAAGGTATCTATATTGGCAGTAACAGTCAATAATGACAATGTTTTGGGGCTTTGAAAGTATAATCCTATGTAGTATTTACGGGAGCTTCACAAAGTTCCTGTGAGATAGATAGAATCTTAGCCCCATTTCACAGGTAAGAAGTGGAAGTTTTGAGAGATGAAGTGAGTGGCCCCAGTTCTTGCAGATTCAGGCTCTGAACTCCAGCTCATGCATTGTTGGCTGGAGGGTTTGGTCAGAAACTCAAGGTACAGTGATGGGAGTCAAGAAAACATAAGGAGGTTACCAAGACTGAAAACAATTATTGAGCATCATCGGTTCCTAGTTCAGTCCCAGTGTTTTACAAGTCTATCCGAGTTAATCCTTGCAACAAATTTGTGGGGAAACTGAGGCTCCAAGAGGATGAATAACTTGTGTAAATTGTAGAGCAGGTTTCAAACCCTGGCCACACAACATCCAGAGCTTCCAGGTGATTTAAGCTCTGCTGTATGGTCCTCTGTTTCACAAAGATGCTTTGTGGAATGAGTGAATAAATGAATGGATGAGAAGGGTTAGCATCTGAGAACCAGCTCTCAGAGAATTAGACCTCAGGATCCCCGTGGATGACAAGTTTTTTTTCCACAGTTCTGCAGTTTCTACATGCAATGCAGCAATAGTTGCCCAAGCCTGTCCCAGGAGAGTTGCAGCTTCTTTGGGCCTTGAGGCCACACTTTTCCAACACCTTTTGCCTAAAGCCTCTCTTTCCTGGCTCAACTCATCCCTTGCAAAATGCCCTGAGCCCTATGGTAAACCAGGCATGGAGGGTGTGGACCTTTAGCAACTGAAGGAAACTATTTCAACATGATGAAATATGATAAATGTGACTGTGTAGAAATATGAAAAAGTGTTGGGAAATAGTTGCACATATCTGAAGATACTAATTAAAGCAATGTGCATTTACAGGGATAAAGGTTGGAACAGGAATGAAAACTATGTGAAGGTGTTGGGATCAGATGGTGTCACACCATTCATTGAGCCTGCCAAGTTAGGAACCTCAGGGTTTGGCCTCACAGCCCATTTCTTCTTCCCCCAGATTCAAGCAGTCATAAACTTCTGTAGATTCTATTAATACATCAGTAAGTATCTTAATTCTGGTGCTTGTTCCTCTTTCTCACTACCAGCTTCCTAGACCAGGTTCTCATTATCTCTCTGCTGGACCCCACGAAAGCCTCCTAACTGGTCTGCTAGCCTCCACTGTCTCTACCACTGCAGTCTATGTTGGACCCTGTAGTCAGAGTGATCTTGATATACAACATATCTGATTATGTGTCTCTCATGGATAGAAGCTTCTCTTATGGTTGCCTTCAGAAAGCAAGTTCAAACTCCTTAGCATGGCATGTGAGCTCCTTTACAATTCTGAGATGTCACAAACTCCCCTCACTCTGGCCCTGTGCCTTTTCTTCTTGGCCTTTTCCTCTTCCCTTCAAGACCAAACTCAAATGTCCGAACCTCAGTGAAGCCTTCACAGGTGTCCCAGGGAAAGTTGGTTCCTCTACTCTCCTAAATTACAGTGGAGTCATGCTGTAAGTGCAAAGTTATTGCCTGTCCTCTCCCTAAACTCTGAGACCCTCTGGAGCCAGGGACCTATTGTCTTACTGTCCTCCTCCCTGCACCCTCAGCATGGTGCCTAGGATATAATTGGGGGGCAAAAATGTGTGTTGATTGATTGAATGAATCAATGGTTGATTAAAACAATTTATTCTCTAACATTTTAAAATCTATTTAATAATAATAAAAAATGTAAAAGAAAACAGCACTTAAAGAAAATAAGATGATCTTCTGAAATTTAAGAAAGTAGACAGAGGCAATGCAGTATAAATGGAGAAACAGACCAACTGGGGAGGTGACAGATTGGGTTTGAATCCCAGGTCTGGCACATCCTGAGCCTCAGTTTCCTCATTTATAAAACGGATAATATCATATAGGATGGCTGTAAAAAAGGAAAAGAGGAAATGCAAGCCAAGGGCTTAGTACAGTGCCTGGCACATCGTAAGGCCTCAAAAAATGCTTGCTAGCCACAATGATTAAATCATCATTGTGAAGCTAGTGCTCTTATGTAAACATTTTTTTGTGTGTCCTTTTGCTTGTTTTTTCAACAAAAAACTTTTAAAGCTTTGTCCTCAGCTGAAATGTGATTACATTTCATGCAGAATGATGAAGAAAGGATTGTGGAAGAATAAACTCAGCACTTCTCCTTGGATCTTGTTTTCTGAGCCAGCTCCCTCTTTCAGGGCCTTCCCACATGGGGTAGTAGAAGAACTTACTCATGAGTCCTTGCACAGGGTAGGAGTGGGTCTAGAGCTGAGAATGAGAAAGGTGCCTCTGAGAAGGGTATTCTATGCTCCTCATAGGACTCATCCTATTTTACTATTATCACTCCCCAATGGACTGTTTTCCAGCATCATGTCTGTATTGCTCTCCAGAAATAAAGTTAGGACCAGTGGATGAAAATTTTGGGGCATCAGATTTCTGCTAAGTGTAAAAGAAGAGGTTCCTCAGTGAGAGGAGGCTGACAATTGCAGTAATGAGCTCCCTATCATTGGAGATATTCGAACCAAACTGGATGTTTATGTGTTGAGGATACTATGAAAGATTTTTACCTTCGGTGGGAGGTTGGCTTAGAGGTGTGTGGTTACTCAGAGCTCATGGCTGAGGGACAGGGCATGTGTATGAACTCTTGCTGTGGTTTAAATTGAGGACAGTGCTTTCTGTGTACAGACCCAGGTTATTTAAGATTGGATGTCAGTGTAACAGACAAATGGACCAAGGTTCTTGGATTGTGAAGACTTTTCTATCAGCATCAATGTTTGCAAAACAACTCTTTCAGTTTAATTAAAATTGATGAAAATAGATATAGTAGGGAAACCCCAAATCCTCCTGAAGTATGACAATTAAGGTAAAAGTCTGAAGCCCAGAACTCTTGCCCTTAGTATGTGCCTTGAAAAAGCCACTTAATCTCTCCATGACTCTTAACATGTTTCTGTTTAAGATACTCACTATATTAGATGACATTTGGTCTCCATAGAACTCAAGAGGAAGACAAAGGCTAAATAAGGTAAGGGCTGCTCTTCTGTCTTTGGGGGAGTGATTTATTGGCTATATACAGTAAGGCCCAGATAGTTCTTTGGATCTTACCTATTTGACTAGACCTGCATTCATAATCAGGATTTCATAGATAGGCACCTTTGTTCCATGAATCTCCTGAAATTTATGTAATTTGTGTGCATAAATATAATTTCCTGGGGAGAAAAGTCCATACTTTTATAGGGTTTTCAGTTGGGCCTGTGATCCCCAAATATTCGTAATCATTTACTTTCATCTTGATGATCTGCTCAGCAGTCAAACTGAAAATAACCCTGGGAGATTGTAACCTTTTACACTTTAGTGTTAAGGGAAAAATCCAGGAGTTTTATTAACAGGAGTAGGATGAATTAGCTAGAGGGGATGTTCTGTTTTTGTATGTTAAGAGGCGGAGGGAGCATTTATGTTCAAAGAGTGAAAAGGGAATTAGGGATATAATCAAGAGGCTGCGCCCTCTACCACATCCAAGTTCTCTGCCCACTAGACATTGCCCAGAGTGGATCCCAGAACAAGGGTCTGATTTATCATAAAGTGCTGTGCATATGCTTCGGGTCTCAAATAGTGGCGTCTGATTTCTGTTCTCAGACTGATCATTTAACACCTCCCAAGGGCGTTGGCCTGATACCATCGCGGGCGATAACGGTGCACCTCTCAGTTCTGGGGAGCCTGCCAGGAGCTTCTGCCGGGTCGGGAAGCGCGAGTGAGGCTTAGTACCTGGCCGGAGGGGGAGAGGCGTGCCAACTGGCCCAGCCATTTCAGGCGTGGGGGTGGTGAAATGTGGCAACTTGCCAGGCTTCAGTCCTGCTCTGCGAGTGCCAAGCTCCAGTTCCTGCCATTTCCAAGCTCGCTGACCTGAGGCAGGTCGCCGCCACCTGTGGACCTCAGTTTCCCATTTGTACTATGAGAAGGCTGGAAGACCTCGACCCACCCACCCACTATCTTGGCGCCAAGGTGCTGCCCCTTTAAGGAGGCCGGGGGGCGCGGACGGGCTGGCCGCGCCCCCTTCCTCTCCGCGCGGCGCCTGGCGGACCACCTGTCTCCTGCCTCGCCCCGCCCCTTTCGCAAGGGCGGGGAGGAGGGGGCGGAGAAGGAAGGCTGAGGGTTTACCTTGCGGGGCGCGCGCGCGGCGCATGCGCAGGGCCGGACAGGTCCGCGGCGCCCTCACTTCCTGGCATTCCACCCTCCCCCTCCTCGCCGTTACCCTGTACATCCGGGTCACTTGCCCTCCCCACTCGGAGCCGGAGCCGCTGCCGCCGCCGCCACCGCCGCCTGGCTCTTCGCGGCTCCGCCACAGGGGCAGGTGCGGAGGGGCTCCCGGTCCCGCCGCCGCCGCTCCCCCGCTCCGGGCCCGGGGCTCCCCCTAGCGCCGCTGAGGAGTCGCCGCTGCGGCTCGCGGAGGGCGCAGGAGCGGGGCTGAGAGCGCCTGGAGGCCCGAGCGGAGGGTGAGTGATTGGCTCTTACCATTTTCCCTTCTCCCCTCACAGCCCTCGCCGTCCTGCTCTGCACCCGTTTTGGCGGAGAGGCGCGTGCGGCGGGGCCCTCGGCGGCGCGGGGCTTCCTCCTCCCCCGTGCGGTGGGCCCGCCCCCGGCCCCGCGGCGCCCCTACCCTTCCTCCCCGGCCCGCGGCCCCGGCCTGGCCCCAGCGCTCATTCATTCGGATCTTCCTTTCTTCCTCTCCTCCTTCCCCTTGCACCTCCAGGCGCGTGCTCGCTGCTCCCTCCCGCCCCCAAGTCCTGCCGCCGTCCCCGGCTTCTGCCTCCATCCCCGGCTTCTGCCTCCCCAGCTTGTCCCCCTCGCGTCGATGTTTGCCCCGCTCCCCAGCTTCCACCACCCCTGCCTCCTCGCGGCTGCCTTTGCTCCTTGCCCCCCTCCTTCTGCTCGTCCCCAGATCCACACCCCCTTCTCCCCCGGGCTCGCCACGCCTCGCCCGACACCCAGCCCTCCTGGTCACTGGCGTTGAAGTTGGTGTCTTTACTGCTGCCCATCACTTCGTTTTCCACCTGCATGGCCAGACTTCCAACTTATGTGCTGCGTTGACCTTTTGATTCCCAGCATTTGAAGTCCAGATTCTGAGTCTTAGGGTGTGGTCTTAGTGTGTTTCCAAAACACACAATTTCTACTATAATTACCCAAATCTATGACTGTCAAACTTTAGTGGTGGTGGCAATTGCTGTGGGTTTTTTTCCCCCCTAACCTCATGGCTATTCTGGGCCATACTCAATACCTATTTTTCCCCCTTTTCTCCCCACTGGAAGAGTGTCTGTGACGGATTAATTTTCTATGAGTGTAAAATTTGTCAAAAGATTGTTGTTGTTATTATTTTTTTTACTACTCCAGATTCCTCATCACTGGTTTCCTTGACTGATTTGCAACATTACCTGTTAATACTTTGCTTTAATGTTTGTTGGTGAGACTTTTTCTTGTCTCATCTGTCAACATTTATTTGAGTGCCCCCTGTGTGGTGAATACCGATGAAATGCCTGAATATATGCAGTACCACAAAGTGCCATTCTGGATAAGACAAAGATTTTTGGAATTTGCTTACACCTTATTTTCTCTTTCTGTAAGTTTATTCAGTTTGCCTCCTTTTTTACTCTTTAATCTCCATGCGAAAAATGTGTATCAATCAATTTTGTGTTCTTTTTAGCCTTGCAGTTTGGCACACATTCAAGAGGAGTGTTTTATATAGCTAAAGGAATTTCAGTCACTTGGGTATTTGGTGACTTACTATTGCAAACCATTTTTGACTAATGTACCTCAAGAAAAACACACTGATCCCTTTAATTCTTTAATTGTGTTTAATGATACAAACAGAAGCTTTGTGTCTAGAAGGACTTGATAACTGGGGCTTATTTGATAGCCCATTTGTAAAGTGTTGCAGTTAACTGAAACTGCCTCATCGGCATTCATAAAATGAAATGACAGCATTTTTTTTTTTCATGTGACTTTCATAGTCCAGTAATATTGAATCCAAGGGAGGTTCTTACTCCTAAAGCACACCTAACTTGCATGATGATGCTATTGCTGTCAATATTTATGGTAGCATTTTCTAACATCCCTTTTTTCTGGGGAGCTAGGTATTAGAAAGGCACTTGCTACTTGTCTCCGGTTTAGGTTTTGGATAACCACTTAAAATTTCTTAACTCATAGTTAGGATTCCTTTTTTTTTTTGGCAGAGCTGTTTTGCTAAATAATAATTAAAAACATTTTTTAAAAAAACCTTTAGTAGTGATGTAGTTGTTTCAAAGGCAACTCTTGCTTTGTATAATGTTGTAGGATGTAGAGTATGCACTCTACTGTAGGTTATATAATTGGATAGAGGCTAGGTTTTTCTCTTCTAAGTGATCATTTGATCAAAGGGAAGTATGATTAGTAAGTTGATTCTAGTTGCCCCAGCAAAAATACAGTTTCAGATCCTGAGTAAAGCTAAGTCAGTGCAGTTTATTTTTGATAGATTACAGGTGATCCTTAACTTAATTGAACTCAAAATTCATTTGTCTGAAATTTCCAAAACGAACTGGGTTAAAAAATTACATGTTAACAAGTAGTGCCTCTCCTTAGGTTATTGGCTCATTTGAAGTGGTCATTTATCTTTGCATAGTAAATAATAGTTGCTGGAGAAGTATACAGAGATGCTTATTTTACTCCAAGTCTCCTTGGGAAAATACTGGATTGTCATTTATGACATTACTTAATTCTTATTAAGTCTTGATGCATTCAGCTGTTTAAGAGCCTTTAATTTAATTTTCACTGTTTAAGGAAAACAAGACTACAATATTTGGAAATATTTAATTATGTTGTTACTGGGTTGCTTCCTATTATTTTTGGTCTCTCCTTTTCTGTAACTACATCAGAGTTTACCACAGTGTCTGCTTGGTGCATAGTGTATTCTCAGTAAATGTTTTGAACAATTGAATGAATGGTAAGATCAAAGAGTTAGACTATGAGAGCATTTTGTGATTATGTGGCAAAAGTTTTGGAGAAAGATGTTGATTGCTCTGAGCTACAGTTTTCTCAAGTATCTTGTATATTTTGAAGACTACTGTATTGGGTTATTTAAATTGCTTTGAGATCTTTGGGAGAGAAAGTACAATAGAAATATCGTTTTGTATTATGCTTTAGTTCATAGAATGGATTTGTTTATTTAGAATGGGTATTTTATGTATATATCTTGTCAGCATTCATGAACAATAGTTAATTCAGATCATTTCTTGTGCATTTAAAGTTTCTAAAAATCAGCATAAAAATTTTTGGATTCATGAGCTCATTCTATATTATGATCAATTCACTAAATTAACCTGGCTCTAAATTGTTATTCTGTAACATTGAACACCTACTATATGCCAGGTTCCTTATTAGATTCGTGGTGTTTTTTTTTTTTTTTTTTTTTGAGACAAAGTCTCACTCTGTTGCCCAGGCCAGAGTGCCATGGCATCAGCCTAGCTCACAGCAACCTCAAACTCCTGGGCTCAAGCAATCCTTCTGCCTCAGCCTCCCCAGTAGCTGGGACTACAGGCATGTGCCACCATGCCCAGCTATTTTTTTCTATATATTTTTAGTTGTCCAATTAATTTCTTTCTATTTTTAGTAGAGATGGGGTCTCGCTCTTGCTCAGGCTGGTTTCTAACTCCTGACCTTGAGCAATCCGCCCGCCTCAGCCTCCCAGAGAGCTAGGATTGCAGGCGGTGACTGAGTCACCACGGCCAGCCTTATTAGATTAGGTTTATGACAACCCTGCAAGGTGTAGATTAATTTCTAGTTAATTCCTAATTAACATTAGGAAAATAAGGATCAGAGGGTAACTTGTTCAGGTATACTCCTAAGTGGCAGATGTTGAAGACTGGCATTTGAACCCAGGCCTATATGACTCATTGCCTTTACTTACTATTTCAAGGTACTAATTTGAGGTCTTCTGTTTTATATTTATTTAGAGAGCATACTTAAAACAGCAGATCTCAAAAGTTTACTTTTTTTAGTTGCCACACAGGATAATGTTCACTTGTTCTGTACTCTCCCATGAGCATATACAAGATTAAAATTTCCTGCTCACTAGTCACAGCTTCACTCCTTTCCTACTCATGCAAGTAATTGGAATGCAAATGAGTTATATTTGTAAAACTTTTTAAACAAGGAAATCTTTCTTAGAATTTTGATTATTTAAATATATGCATTTCTTGTTATACACCCTCACATCTGGATAATGGTACCATGGATAAGAAGGACTGTTTTCAAAGATACTGTGTGATTTTAAGTGGAAGACCTAATGTAAAGATATATTTTTATAGCTGTTAAATTTATTTTGAAAAGATGATCTTCAACATGGAGGTACTATTGTATGTGACACTGTGAAGCTTTGAGTCCTGTACAGTTATTTTCTGCTATGCAGTAATCTCTATTTGGTGTATTCTAGTTGATGCATTATGGTATATATTAAATCCTAGACTGCTGCACACTCTTTTCAGTGTGTCTAGAATATTTCTTCCAATTATATATTGGCATGTCCTTAGATAATCCAAATTATACTGAGTACTAATTTAGGTCAGACATTTTCAGGAAACATTTGCTAAGAAAAAAATTATGACATATTCCCAGATACTATTATTTGATGATTACATACCATTTCTCTGTTATTTGCGAATATAATGGAGAATTGAATGCACTAGTATAAATGAAATCTGAGATCTGCTATGTCTAGAGGTAGACTTTTGTGGTTTGTTGACTTGTACTCTTATCAAGATATTCTTCTCATTGTAAAATTTTACTGTGTATTGACAAAAACATTGCATTTAAGTCCTGGCTTTCTCTTGTTTGCTAACATGAAGATCTCAGATTGTAAAATGAGAATAATAATATCTGTGTTATGTGCCTCACAGCACTGTTGTGAAATTTTTGTATTAATTTCAATACAACTTAATAGAAAAGGCAGGATATAATTTTATTAAAGTAATGTGTTTCTAAGTCAAATGATCATTTAAAATAATACGGGTTTTGATTATCTATTTGTTTGACACCTGGCACAATATTGGGTATATGGGTTGCCATTAATTACCCAAACAGTTCTTGAGCACATAAGCAGAGTTAGATACATAAATATAAATATAGGTCTTCCTCCTTGAAGTGGAATAGAAGATAGAGAAAAATATAAGTGTGAATTCAGTGACAACATGTTACATGGGTACCTATTCTTATTTTAAGGAATCAGGATAAAACCTCTGTTGTGATGCCATCTCAACTAAGACCTGAAGAGTGGATCAGTCAGGCAAAAAGGAAAGTGCACGGAGGTAGAGCAAGGGGCAAAGATCCTGAAGATGAGCGAAGTCATTTTAGAAACTGTACTGGTTCTGTATGGCAGGATTGTATTATGGATTATGTAAAGGAGAGATGGGTAAGATGAAGCTAAAGAGGTAGGTAGACAAGTAAACTGTAAGGCCAGCTGCATGAGTCATGTTAAATTCAGTTCAGTTTGGACTGAAGGCAATAGGGAAACTATTATAAGATTTTAATGGAAGAGAGAGTGTAAAATATGTCTTTTCTAAAGATCGTTCTTACTGCTTTTGGAGAATGGATTGAAGGTGAAGTAAGACTGGATACAGGGAGACAAACTAAGAGGCAGTTACTGAAGTCTGGGAAAGAATTGATAGTGATCTGTACATGAGTATTGGCAATGGGAGGGGATTATATTAAATCTATAAGATGGTTTACTGAATATTTGCTTCCAGTGGTAGAATAGGGAATATAGTTTCTTCCAAAGGGCTAGGTGCGGCTTTTTCATGTAAAGTTGAGATGCTGCCTAGGGCTAAGGCTAAGCCATATATGTTTTCAAATAAGCATTTTTCCATTGATTTACCACATTCTTAGTCATTGAGTATGAGCTGACCCACCCCAAAATAGGAATATCAGGCTGGAGACTCATGAGGTCTCCATGAATTAGGTATTCAGTTTCTACAAGAGCCCTGAAGCAAACTAATAGCTGCTTTTCAAAAGGGGTAAACCTGATAGCTGTGTCAGGGAGACAAAGTGTCTAAAACACCATGGGGCACCTCCAGGTGGAGGCTACCTCCTTTTGCCAAGTGTTCTAATCAGTAAAATCATGAGTACAGAGACTTGTAGCTCAAAATGGTCCTTAGGATTGTGTGGCCCCAAAACTGCTAGACCTTCTCTATATACAACTGTTACTAATTGGAAGAACTCTCCTTTTTGGCTCTTTGGGGAAGTACAAGCATATAACAAATCAATTCCTACTATATGTTAAGATGTAGAGGCAACAAAAGTGCATTGAAATTGCCCAAAGAAATCCAGCCATAAGTCATGTTCATTTCCCTAACCCACTGTAACCACTGCCCAGACCCTATCAACTGTATTTGGGTGTCTCCTCCCCCCAACAGGACTAGATAGGATGGTGACCTGGATGCCTGTATTCAAGAGAACCATAAAATTTTGAGTCCCTCCCTAAAGTTACATGGGCAGCCTCAGATGAGTATGTCTGGCTTCAGTTCTTTTTGGGGATCAGGGAGACCTCAGCTCCCTTCTTAACCATCTTTCTCTTTAAAGCAGAAGAGTTTGGAATATAAGTGAGAGAGATCAGAGGGTACAGAGGGAGAGAGCAGCGTGGTGCCAGTAATCAACTTGGTGTTATTAATTTAAAGTGAAATATGAAAAAAAACACTTTGGGGTATAAGGTGTGAGATTACTGTGCTTTCCTTATATCCAGCTACAGTTCTTTACATTCACTTTTGATCATTCCCTTACAGTTCAACCAAAGGAACTTTTAATGTTTTTGGCCCACCAGAAGCTCTGTAGTTGGCAGCAAAGCCATCCTTACTTACACCATCTATTTTAGCTGGGGTTGGCGGGGTGTTCTTGGCTCAGCTGCCACAGCCACATTGCCTTCCACACTGAGGTCATGGAGCTTGTTGCCCCTTTGTCATGATACATCCCTTTCTTCACCATTCCAGAGGAGAATGAACAACCACCAAGCCACCATTTGAGTGGCTAATTTCCTTCTTCAAATCTTTTCTAATGGGCAGTAAGTATGCTTACCCCTTGCTCTGGAAGGATACATTGTATTTATTATACTGGTCTGTAAGCATGCCTGTCCTTTGGTCTGGAAGGAGGAACAATCTTTATTTTTCAAGGCTGTTTACTCCAGGCATTCTTGAAAAGAAAGTCTACAGCAAGGACAGTTGGTACCTCTGCTTGTAACACAGGCATGCAAGAGAGCGACCAGAGGAATGTTTCCCAAAATATGTAAATTACATATCAGTCTGGCCTGACATGTAATAAGAACACAATAAGTCTTATTATTGGTGCTGTTCACTTCTTTGCTCCGTTTTTTGGGGGCTAACCTGTATGTAATGACCTTGCTAGAATTTTGAGGTTTTCTCTAAGTTGGCTGCTCTAATAACATTTACTCAAAAACTAGTGACTGACATGTTCAAACATCATTTGGTTGAGAAATTTCACATGTAGTCTTTTAAGAATTTCAGGGACTTTCAAGTTAAATATGAGAAAACTACCTTGGGGTGTAAGGTATGAGATTACTTTGCTTTCTTTCTGTCAAACTAGATTTTCCTGCTTTAAATTCTGCCAAATTCTTTTTTTTGAGATGGAGTCTTGTTCTGCCACTTGAGCTTAGAGTGCCATGATATCAGCCTAGCTCACAACTACCTCAAGCTCCTGGGCTCAAGTGATTCTCCTGTCTCAGCCTCCTGAGTAGCTGGCATTACAGGTGCATGCCCAGCTAATTTTTCTGTTTTTAGTAGAACGGGGGTCTTGTTCTTTCTTGAGCTTGTCTCAAACTCCTGACCTCAAGTGATCCTCCCACTGGCCTCCCAGAGTGCTAGGATTACAGGCATGAGCCACCACTCCTGGCCCTGGCAAATTCATAGAAATGAAATGATGTTTGTTAATTCAGCACATTTAGGGCAGCTTCTTCCCCTTTATATAAAGGGACAATGTAGATGTAAGAGTAAGATAGGCTAGCATAGTTAGTAAGAAGGAGGTTCAAAGTAGCGATTTATTTTCCTTTTTTAATTTAGAGAGCAGGGTTTCATTTTATCTATTAGCATTTTATAAATTTGTCCTTCCAGTTATTTTCTGTAAACAAGTATTCTAAAAATGTTATTTTGAAAGCTAACTTTTCTTGCTGAAGATTATTTGTTACATTTTAATTTATTTTGACTTAAATACCTAATGTGTTCTGGTTTATCAAGTTGTATAAAAACTACAGAGAAGTCAACTTCATTTATTCCATTCATTTGAGTTAAAGTGTACATGAATTGAGAGACTTGGAATTGTAAAATCTTCTAGCTGTGGTGGAGCCAGCTCTGAGTTGCTAGTGGGTAAAAGCAGCCCTGGATAAAAGCAGGTGGATGTCTAAGGACTGAAGCTTTTTGGAAATAGTCGTTTTGGTAATTGGGACTTCTATATTAAAATGTGACCATAGTTTAACTAAAGCATTTTCTTTTTATTTATAGAACAATATGTTGAAGCAATAGTCAAAATACGTAGCTTGGGGTTGGCATTTCTTTGAAATGGGTGTGCCAAAGTTCCCTTATGGTGTGTGTGAGATGGTGACAACTGGCCAGTGTTCTGTCTTTGGTATGTGGCACTGACCTCTTAGTAGTCTGTTAGCGTGTATCTTTTAAGAACTTTGTTTTAGCTGATTTTCATCATTCTTGCTTTGTAATCAATTTTTAAAAATAAGATACATTGTTCTATTAAAATGAAATTTAATTTTTTTAAACCATTCTCGGTTTGCATAGTTTGGTTAGGTAGTCTGTGCATTTGAATATTTTTTCAAAAATATTTAAGCACTTCAGAATTTTTCCTAGTTGAAGTCTACAAGCAAAACTTGTGAAGTCCTTTTACTTCCTCTCTCAGATCCCTTCTAGGATGGATACTGTAAGTCATCTTTTCAAGAGTTAGTTGAGGCCAGGTGGGGTGGCTCACGCCTGTAAACCTAGCACTCTGGGAGGCCGAGGCGGCCAGATTGCTCAAGGTCAGGAGTTCGAAACCAGCCTGAGCAAGAGAGAGACACTGTCCCTACTATAAATAGAAATAAATTAATTGCCCAACTAATATATATAGAAAAAATTAGAGAGGCGTGGTGGTGTATGCCTGTAGTCCCAGCTACTCGGGAGGCTGAGGGAGGAGGATTGCTTGAGCCCAGGAGTTTGAGGTTGCTGTGAGCTAGGCAGGCACCACGGCACAATTCACTCACTACTTGCCTTCAAGCTCCTTTTCTTTAGATATGACCTTGCTGAATTTCTATCCAAAGAAGGTTCCAGAGCAGGCTTTGGATAGTTCTGCTTTCTTTTTTCGTCTGTGGTATAGGTATATACATAATATATGTGTATATATTTTTGTTTCTATGTATCTATATTCCTGTTATGATCCTGTATAGCTGGGGGACATAATATGGAAAAAAGGCCATAATGTGGCCTTTTATTTTTTAAATCTTTCTTAGTAAAGATGTGGGGCTAGTAGTTAATCAGGTCAAAAAGGTCTACTCTCATGACCCTTAGAAGTATAATACTTTAATAAAAAGTAGAAAATCACCTATAATGCTGATAATAGAGATAAGTGGTATATATGCTATTTTGGGATGCCATTTTAATGTATACTTTCATTTAATATGGTTTTGTTGTTACACTGATTTTTGGCTTTGGCATCTAGAAAAACTCAGTAATTCCATCAATAAACATAACTACATACTAACTTTTTTCCCACTATTTTTTTTAAACAATTTTATGGGGGTATACTTTACATACTGTAGAATTCAACCATTTTAAATGCTCAAGTTGATGACTTTTTAGTAAGTATACTGACCTTTGCAGCCATTACCATAGTTCAGTTTTAGAACATCATCTATTAACTCAGTAAGATCCCTTAAATCCTATTACAGTTCATCTACATTATTACTCCCAGCCTCAGGCAACCACTTACTGTCTCTATAAATTTTTCATTTCTAGGAAATTTCTTATAAATAGATTCATAGAACGTATAGTCTTTTGTGTCTGGCTTCTTTCATTTAATGTTTTTGAGGTTTATCCATGTTGTTGAGTGCATTAGTAATTTGTTCCTTTTTATTGCTGAGTAGTATTGTGTTGTGTGGATATGCCATATTTTGTTTATCCATTTATCAGTTGATGGACATTTGGTTAGTTCTGATTTTTTGGCTGTTATAAATAATGCTGTGAACATTTGTGTGCAATTAGGTGTGTAGCTATTGTATATTTTCATTTCTTTAGGGTAGATTCCTAGGAATGGAATTCTTGGGTCATATGGCAAATTTATATTTAATCTTACAGAAATTCCCAAACTATTATCCAGACTGTCAGTACAACCTGCCAGGAGTATATGAGGATTTCAGT